TTGAATTATAAAAAAAAAAAAAAAAAAAAAAAATGAAAAAGAAAATCTGAATTCTAAACGATATTTAATTGTTCTCGAATTAATGCAAATTGATCTTCATTTCATGCTGGTCTCTCTTTGTCGCAGTGTTCCAAGTACCCATGGCAACTATTAAAGGTAAAATAATCGGGTCAAAATACGGAAGTGCCCATGGGAATTCCTTTCGGGTGTGATTTCGATGACGCTTGCAAAAATTTCACACATTTTTTTCACTACATTCTTCCATCCGCGATAGTTAATCAGGAAACCGCGAGTCGTTCTCCTTCGATCAGATTCGATCCCCCTGAATTGGATGAAATTCACGAGGAAATTAGACATACGTTCCACGTGTTTAGTATCTGGCATTCGTTAATTGATCACCTCACCTCCTTCGTATCCTCCGTGTGTTTAATTAGCTGCACCGAGATGAAGAAAAGGAAAAAAAAAGAAACAGAAATCCGTGTTTCTCGATCATTATCGCTCCGGAAGAACGTCGCTGTGTTCTTTTTTTTTTTTTAATTTTTTTTTTCCGTTCGCACTATTAACACGCGCGCTTTTCGAATGTGTTTTTCAACAGAAATGCTAAATCTATCAAGAGTCGTCCTTCGATCGAGCACCGCACCCTGGAAAACAGGATGCGCGCAACTTTTTCTCTTCCTTTTTTTTTTTTTTTCGTACTCCGGCTCCACCACCGTTTTCTAATTAAAACGATTTCCCCCTCAACGTGGTAATCCTCCCCGTTCGCGTTACACGTCTCCACGTTAACCTCCCTCATCGGTAAACATCGTTGCCTGGCGAATCTCCAGAAAGGCTCTTGCTCTTTGTCTCTTTTACGGTGTTAAAATAGAAAAGTGGGACAACTGGCTCGTGGGGCAGAACGTCTCGAACACTTCTTTCCCGCGCGAAGTTTCCACGTTTTTCGCGAGCAATAAATATCTTTCTTCCATCTCTCCATCGGAAAAAGCGAACGAGAGAAAGAGAGAGAGAGAGAGAGAGAGAAACGCGCGCGCGCGCACACGCATCTCCTCGTCAGTTCCGACATTTTTTTTTTCTCTCCTCCCGTCCCCACGATATTAATTTTTTGCACAGTCTCCGCCTCTACGGGCCCCCTTTTTCTCTCTCCTCTCTTTCTCGCTCCACCGTGAGTACACACGCTCCATCACCGAGAGAGCCAGGACCTAATGAAATCATTCCCGCGCCGATTCGACGCAGGGCTGGGATTTCTGCCCATTGTGCAACACCCCTGCCACGTTCTTTTTTTTCTTCTTTTTTCTTTTTTTTCTCTCGCTCTCCTAGTAACGAAAGCGCGCAAGAGGGTCGCGTCGAAACTGCTATTGGCACAACACGAGGGGAGGGGAAGAGAGAAGCTGCGTCCTCTCAACCCTTTCACCGGTAGCTGCACATTTTTTTCTCTCTTTTTCTCTCTTCTCCCTGCGTTCGGGGGTGATCGGACACGCATAACCCGCGGATTACCAGGCGTGTGATACGAGAGAGAGAGAGAGAGAGAGAGAGAGAAACGCGTCGGCCTGGAATAATACGCGACTAGCTAGTGCACAAAAGAATATGGGGGAGAGAAACGAAACAGCTCGTAATGAAAGAAATCACGCGGATTATGTCGCGATCGTTTCAATATCCGATTTTTTTTCTCCGCGCGCGAACGAGAAGCGTGACGGTGGAGCAAACATAATGAATCATCGTTCCGTAGTTCGAAGGAGTTTCTCTTGTACCGGAGTCGAGGAAATCAGGAAAAAGAATGATCGTGGTAAAGGGTTAGTGTTGAAGAGAAAAAGAGGGAACGAGAGACGGGTTACTCGGTGCATGTGAAACAACGACGGGAACCTTCTCCTTTGGACGTGTACGCGCGTATCGAAGAAAAGGAACCGAGGCGAAAAGGAAGCAAGACGACCGATCAACGAATATCTTTCACAGACTCGGTTTGCCGGTGTAACCGAGTATCGTACGAAGGTTGTCTGCCGGCGAGGCTCGCGGCCTCGTTGCGGCTAAAAAAGCCAAGGAAAGGAGCCGGCTGGAGGGAAAGAAAAAAAAGAAAAAAGAGGAAAAGAAAAGGAAAAAGAGAAATGACGCGAAAAGAATTGCGCGGCACGAGAACGACCTTCGGATTTTATCGCTTTGCTCCGAGAAAAGAGAGGGACCAAAGAGCCGTGTCCCTCGTTCCACCTGAATTTTTCAAAGCCTTTTCGCAATCCGGAGATGTGAAACGTTCAACCTGAACGAAAAATAAATACGCTCGTAAACCGTGTCGTGGAATATACAGGACAGATGGTGTAATTCGCGATGAATTTCCTACGAAAGATGCTCCCTTTTCCACGAACGCACAAAATGGCTCCATGGTGCCTAGCGTCACGCATCGCTACGCGTGTGCTCACACCCACTTCCTTTTTACGCCACTCCCTGGCCCGCGAACCAGCTATAAACACTAACCAAAGGAGTTTAACCAGATGGATAGTTATAATCGTGAGGTGTGAAAAATATGATTGAACGTGTATGTACTCGAGAGAGAGATTCTGAACGCGGTGGAACATCCGTCTGTGATAGAAAACTCGTCGGAAGGAAAAGGACGAAACTCTAACAGACAGTGCGAGGATTATTGCTACATAGATGAGGTGAATCGAGAAACGCGTCTAGCCTGTTCGAGGGACCAGGAAGCGTGGAATTGGGAATAGAGGTGTGCACAGCTCTAGGCCAGGCGCAGCCACGTTACCTACACTCTAAGCAGAGAGATGAATCTGGTCACGGCGAATCATAAAGTCCCTTGGGTATTCGCCCACGCTGCATCCACTCTCCTGGTTGCAGCGTGCAGCAAAGAGAGAGAGAGAGAGAGAGAGAGAGACGGTGACGACGAGCAAAGAGAAAGGAGAGAGAGGAGAGCACACGAGGAGAAGGAACGAGAGGAGAAAGAGAGCGGCCAGCAGAAGGAGAGTCGAGGTATTCGCGGTGCAAAAAGCGAGGATGCAGGCAAAAAAGGAAGAGCGCAACGAAGAAACCGGTTTTTTCCAGTTGGGCCAGGTCGGGGCGTCGAACCTACGGACCACAGCCTCCCTCCGAGAATAACTTGCATGCAGCAGCAGCAGCAGCAGCGACGCCGACGACGTCTACGGCCAGCATCTTCTTCGTGGTGTCGGTCCAACCGGCTTGAGCGTGCCCTAGGTCCGGGAAGAAAGAAGGACGCGAGGGCTTTGGCCCGTCGAAAAACAACCGGGAGAGGCGTGCCTTGAAAAGAATATCGCCTATCGTGAAAGAAGAACACGACGACCCATCTGAAGTAGCGTGGGTGTTTCGGCGAGGGAGAAAGAAGAAGATGCCAAGTTGTGAAGGAGAAGGAGACGGCGGTGGAGGAGGAGGAGGAGGAGGGGGAGGAGGAGGAGGAGGAGGAGGGCAAGGACCCTTTCTAAACCCTGGGTTCATTGACGTTGGCGTTTACGCTACTCTGCAACCTTTCTCTGCTCGCTATTTTTGTCTTGTTTTTTTCTCACATCATCCCGCAGGGTTTTTTGCGCCGATTGGCCCAGGTCAAGGAAGTTCAAGCAGGGTACAGCAGAGTAGGAGGGAAATAATGAGATAGGAGTTGTTTTTCTTTTTTCGTTTGTTTCTGTTTGCACATCGGCTTAAGGGGAAAAGAGAACCGAATCGTGAAGATCGGTGAAGAAAGAGGGGAAAATCGAGCAGGATGTTTCTAGTTTAGAGAGGCGTGTAACCCAGCTTAGGGATCGGGAGAAGGAAACGACTAAACTACACACAGAGCAGTGGTGATAGCTAAAAATATTCGAGGGAAATTCTTCTCGCGACGGGGGGAAAGTAAACCGAAAGAAGAAGGCGAAACCGTAAGGTCGACGACGTCTGGTGTTATTTTAAACTGGTCCTGCCCGAGATTCGGCTCTCCTCCGTTCGTTGATCGCCTCAACTCGGTCGCGGTTATCCCAGGTCCGGGGAAAAAGAGAGGTACGAGTCGGTTCGGTAAAGATAGGCAGGGGAAACGGAGGAGAGAAAGAACGTAAGACCGAGAGAAAGAAAAAGAAAGAAAGAGAGAGAAGGACGACTCGACGCGGTGAAAAAGTAAAAGATGGAGAGAGTAGGAGGAGGAGGTGGTAGAGGAAGAAGAAGAAGAGGAAGAAGAAGAAAGAAGGATGCGTTGTATGTATCTGCAAGTCGGGGGCGGGGAGAGTAGGCAGGAAGAAAGGAACGAGGCGAGTAAAGACCCCAAAACTTTCGGGTCATTGCCGTCTGGTCTCGTTTTAGCCTTTCCTTCCTCCCACCTTCTCCTTCTTCTTTCCTTCCTCTTCGTATTCTTTTTCTCTCCGTTTTAAGCACTCTTTCGAGCAAGGTTGGCCGCCATGTTTTTCCACCAGCGCGTGCCCCTGCCGCCTCGTGTGCGTACAACCGACCTTCGCGTGTGCGAGAGAGAAAAGAAAGAGAAATATGTAGAGTTGTATACATATGTGTGAATTGAAAGATGAAAAGGAAGAAAAAAAAAACAGAAAAGCAACAAACAAGAAAGGAAAAGAAATCGATGAAAAAGAAACGAGGCGCAATCGCGAAAATTGTGCGTTAAAATACGAGGTCGCCAATGACGGAGACAGATACTCGACAATGTGGACGTCGAATTTCGTTCATTACTTTTTTTTTCATTTATAATCCGTTTAAAAAGGATGGCCTTTGTTAGCTCGCTTTATCGGTATTAATCCTCTCGGTGAGACATGTTGCAAGTACGATGTATATCGCGAACGAACGATTGGAAACGACAAATGCAACAGAGGCCATCGTAATTGTGTCGTAGTAGCTAGTCATTTAATCTATGCTTTGCATTCCCGTTCATCTGTGAGGTCGAGCGAGATCAATCGGAGATTCACGATCCACCAAAGTTCTTACGACTTTTTTTCAAACTGTCCAACCAAAGTGAGATATCTCCTCTTTACGTACTTTACAAGACAAGTTCCGATCGTTCTCCAGGCCTCACGCTTTTATACATTCGTCTGTCTGGGCTTTTGCTTTCTCCCTCCTACCTTCCTTACAGAAACCAACAAAAAAGACCGAAAAGTTTCACCACTCGTCTCACACAATCCCGTCTTTTTTTCTGTCGAATCGTCTTCGATCCTCCTCCTTATCCACTGTATCTCTCTACGCTCTGTTTCAATATAAAATCCAGAAAAAGGAAAAAGAAAGAAAAGCACAAGTAAAGAGTAAACCTTCCCCCCACATGAAACAAGAGTCCATTGGCAGACACTCGAGGCGAATTCCCTTTTGCAATAAAGTATACAGTCCGTGGTGGCGGCGGCAAATCGGTGCCTTAACTCTCACTGGTCAATCGTTCTGTTCTGTGCGCTGCCTGTCCTGCGCTTCTGGTACGCAACTCTGTGGTGGTATTCTGTGGGTCGACTCTCTACCGGTGCGCCGCGTGTGCCTGCTTCTGGTTCCTCTTCTTCCGGCCCCCCAAAAAAGGAGTTGCAACAGCGTATTGTGTTCCAGCAACACGCCGCCCTGATCGGCGGCCCGAACGCAACCAGCTGTCCTGTCTGCCACAAACTCTTCCTCGGTGGCGAAGCTCTCATGGAGCACATGAAGCACACCCACAAGGATCCGAATGCCTCCGGCGTTGCCAGTAAGTATCTACGATAGTTGAGCACCCTCGATTTCGTCCGTGTCACTATTTCTTTCTCCTTGCTTTTATTTTCTACATATACATACTACCCAACCCCGACGTATGTGTACACAATGGGAACCACTCTATTCTCTATCTGTTCTCTGTTTTGCGCACTAACGCTACCAAAACTCTATCTCTATCTCTCTGTCACGATACTAACGCACGATACAAATACGCGATATAATAATCAATTTATACATCTATTGCGCTTCGTGTCTCTCTAAGGACACCGCGGGAGGAGGTGTAACGGTCTCGTAGACGAGGTAACGATGTTTAGACAAAACCTATTCTCACCTATTTGGTAATAGGATAAGTTCGTTATATAGAGATTCGCTACGATCGTCTCTCCTCCACGTGGTCTCCGACTTTTGCTGGGGACTCTGTCCGTTCGTACGTCCCTCCACTTTCCTAACACCAGCTCTAACGAGGGTTTCTCGCGAGAATTCCTTCAAGGAGAAAGAAAGAACGGAGATAGACGTAACGAGGGTGCCTTAATTGCGAGTAAGTCTAAAAAGGAGAGAGAAAGCGAGAAGTGGTGGAACGATCGCTCCTCGAGAGACGACGAGGGGTAGCTCGTCCTTAGCCTTTAAGTACGTTTCACATCCCCCACCTAAGAATCTTGCTTTGGCGCGGGCGATATGCACACATTGTCCTGTCACTTCTTCGTACTGTTGTTTCGCTGAACGGGTTAAAAGGGGGTGTAGCACTTAGCGCACTCACCGACTAATACTTTGCGTACTACTACATATTCGCTAATATAAAAACCGGTGCTTCAAAATGGGTGTCTCGGTCGACTATTTGTGCGTGTTTCTGTCAAGTGTGTGGGCATACGTAGATAGACGTACAGAGAAGAACAATCGACAAGAGGGCGCGGACTGTGCGCCAATCTCTAATGAGAATCTCTTTACGATACCGCATGCCGTTTCATTTTCGAACGCGTCGTGGTCTCATTTCCTCCATCATTTTTCCTAGAAAAAAGCAAAAAAAAAAAAAATACATATAT